TGCTGCAGCATTTCCCGACGCTGATTGAAGCGAGTCCACCATAGACTTTGTATGTAAACCTGATGCTCCTGATGCTGAAATCGCGTTTGATGTGAACGCACCATCAGTCATATAGCAGCCAGCCTTCATCTACCGGCACACACATGCATCCTAGCAGCTGGCCTTCATCCACCAGCTCAACATTTATTGGCAGTCCGTCTACACCACTCGGCTTGACATTCATTCTGCACTCAGTTAATGTTGTGCGGCTTCGACCTAAATCTCAGCCTTTCTTTTGAGGGCTCATAGAAAAACACCTATTTATGTACTCCTAATTTGTCGGCTATCCATATCATGTATCGTCGTCCTCATCATTCCCTAAATTGCATTCAGGTCCTGCTAGTTTAATGTGGCCTCAAACTCCTCGGCTTCGGCCTCTTTTGGGGGGATTAAATCTCTACCCCAACTTAAAGCATCTCATATGAGATTACAGCTTCACTCAATGCTCTCGTCGTTTGCCGGGGACCGAGCGCCAAACTCTAATGCCATTTATGTCATAACATTGTTGGTCTGGTCATGTCAATAAACCTCCTAAATTTCATTCTGTCTTGTGTGAGTCTTTCCAGGTTGAAATAGAGTTGGTGACAAAAATTCAGCCTGGAAGACTGGTAACATTAGCTGCTCCTGCAGACCTCCATCTCAAGCTCAGCTGTGTCCAATCATCGCAACTCAGCTTCGTCCAATCAGCTCCTGTCTGTCAGTAAATAAAAGCCAGCCACCTCGTTCACTCTGTCTGTGTGCCAGCTGGCCGTCGGCCCGCCACCACCCCTCCTCCACCATTCGTCTTCTGGAGGGAGTGCGTCTCGACTGGTGCTTGCACGTTTGGCCGTGTCTCTTCCCATCCCTCAACCCAGCCGGTCGAGGCAGATGGCCGCCTGTCCTGACCCTGGTTCTGCTGGAGGTTTCTTCCTGATAACAGGGAGTTTTTCCTCTCCACTGTTTGCTCAGGATGGGAGTCTGTGATGAAGTCATTCAACACAAACTTCTGGCTTCTTCTTTAGATCTTTTCATGACCACCACCACCAGTGTCGAGCCCCGGAGGGATTAAATCTCTAACCCTAACTTAAAGCATCTCGTATGAGGTTACAGCTACACTCAGGGCTCTCGTAGTCTGCCGGGGTCCGAGCGCCAAACTCTAATGCAGGGGTGCCTAAACATTTTCTCTGAGAGGGCCAAAATGAAAATCTATCCAGGGCTGTGGGCCAAATGCAGTAATATAATACATGAAATACGAATATTTTTTAAGTAAAGTCCTTTATTTTTAGCGATTATGCTATGCAATGGCCCTCTTTTGTTTAAGTCTGTGCGCTTGGATAAAGTCTGCCATAGCAAAGGCTCATGGGACATATCATAAATTGATAAAATATGAGTTTTTGTGGCCTTATAAAGTGTGCAAATCTACATGTGGGGTTAAATCTGATCTAAATATTTATTGTTGTCATTTCATGTTTCATGTTTAATCCTAATAAATCAAAGCTAAAGTCAACAGCATGAATGAAAACTACCTTCACTACAGGCCAGCGGTCACTCTTTCAGAGATGAGGATGTTCTCATTCTTGATAGAGAGGAACGTTGGTTTGAGAGAGGAGTAAAAGAAGCCATTTTTGTGAAGAAAGACCGTCCATCATTAAACAGAGGTGGAGGCGTCTGTTTTCAGTTGTCCCCCTCATACAGTGCTGCTATTGCCAGTATCACTCCACCCCCTGTTAACAATAAGTGTTAATTAGGTGTCAACGATAGCCATGTGATGTGAGTATCAGTCACATGGAGGCAGMGCTTAAAAGCCTGAATTTTGCCTGAAACTCTCAGACTGAAGAAGTCTCTTGGAGGAGAGACGAAACGTTTCATTAGAGAAGAACCCGTCCAGAAGACCTATACAATTTTTTTTCTTTTTGATTTTTTACCTGGATTACTGAGATGCATCAGGATACCTTCACTACAGCCCTTTTATATAGTCATTTGACCAATGGAAATACTGTGTTTCTACATAGAATAACAGGTTCCAACCTTTTAACTTTGGCAACTGTTGGTGGGCCGAATCAAATGGCTTGGCGGGCCAAATTTGGCCCGCGGGCCCCACTTTGGGCTCCTCTGCTCTAATGCCATTTATGTCATAACATTGTTGGTCTGGTCATGTCAATAAACCTCCTAAATTTCATTCTGTCTCGTGTGAGTCTTTCCAGGTTGAAATTATAATGTGTGTGAAGGGCACACTGGTGGGTGTCAGGTGTTTCCTTCCCTGGAAATTTTTATTAAAGTAGATTCTGTTTCTTGCATTCTGGTGTATTTTCACAGGTGGTTAAACATATTTTACCTTCAGAAATAAACTTATTTCATAGCTATTTTACAGACAGATTCTTCATTCAACTAGTGTATGAATCAAACAGCTTTTAAGCTCCCTGCTGTGGCTTTGATATAGAAATTAATGTGACAGATGATCACATATGAGTTTAGAGTTCTATTTTACTTTTATTTTGTTTTTTCTTGATTTAGTTTAATTTGTTACACATGGCATTGTGCCGAGCAATGACGTCACTACTACATGATTAACACCAAATAAAAATATTAATAATTTTACCCAATAAACAGTTGTAATTATGATAAACATCAACATTTACTTTTTTCTGCTTTAGTGATAGGCCGACTCACAACCAAAACTTGACATGACATCATGCAACCTGCAAATAAAAATACAAAGCAGTTTCTAAAAGCTTATTCAACAAGCAGCTTTGCATAAAAATCAAAGCAATTACTAAGGAACCAAAACCAAGATACCTAGCACTGTTTATTTTATTTTATTTTTGTGGTTCACACTCCAATGTCCTACTTCCTGTCCTCCTCTTCCTCATTTTTTTCCTTTGTTCCTCTTACATCTCCTCCTCCTCCTCCTCACCTCTATGACTAGCATCAAACTCCATGACTGACCTTTTCAACTGTAAATAATAATAATACATTAACAGCACTTTTACAAAGAATTCAGTGTTATAATACAAACACAATATTAAGAAAAGCTCTGCACACTCCGATCCTCCACAGTCACTATTAAATATTCCATTGGAGAAATCTTGTATATACATGCATGTTCACAACCGCTCACAAACAGGTGCTCTGATCCGGGGGGTTCTGACTGGTCACTGAGTGTGTGTATATGTCTATGTGTATATAAAGACAATACTTATGAATGTAGACATGTTTGTATGTGCATATCTTTATATATGTATGGGTATGTGTGTATTTTTATATATGCCCTCCATATATTTATCCATTTATTTTTCAGGTGAGCGGACAGATGTTGGGTGTGTGGTCCTGTGTTTTGTTGGTGTATATTTAACATACTTCTAATCGCTATTATAATCTTTCTATCTTTCTAATTACTTCTCTCTCTGTTTTTCTCTGTCTCTATTTTCTTTTCACTTAAAAAAAGTCACTGATGATGAAGAAATAAATAAACTAATATTCGGTTTCGTTTTCTACTGAAGTGACAAAAAAAAAAGAAAAGCTCCACACCCACACACACCCACACACACACCCACACACACGCACATGTTTGTTTCTCGACCCCGTGGGGACCTTCCATTGACTTCCATTCATGTTTTTAGACTTTATATCCCAACCCTGACCATATACTCTAAAATTAACCTCACAGAAACTTACCTGACCCTAAAACTAAACTAAACCTTGGTCCTAAACCTAACCCCACACCTGTAACATGCATTTGGACCCGTGGGGACCTGACAATGGTCCACATGATTCACTTCGGTCCCCACCTGGCTGCTTTTTTTTTTTTTTTTTAAAAAATACCCCATMTTGTAGGAACACCCCCCCCCCCACACACACACACACACACACAAACACAGTAAACAAATCACTCACTGCAACGTGTTTTTCTTGAGCTGGTAAAAACAGCTGTATTATATTAAGAACAGGAAAACAGAATATTTCCTGATTTATGTTTTCTTTTGCAATAAAGAAAAATGTCTTCTTCTCAGTAAGCATTGGTTCATTTAAATTCTAGTTATTAAAGCAGATTAAAGGTTTGTGTATGCAGGCTGTGGGCCCTGAACACACCCAGAAACACAAACACACATATAGACCAAGCCTGGGATGAAGGACCATGAAGAGTGCTAACCTGTTGATCCTCAGTCTGGGTCCATGTCGTCACTCTGTCTGGCTCTAAGCCCAACCCCACCCCTCAGTTTTTCTCTTCATCACTTTCTATTTTCATTTTAACGTCTTTGCTCGTTTTACCTGCTCAACTTTCTTCCTCGTTCTATTGTTCAATTTGGGAGGGGCTGTTTGATTCCTCTACCAGCTTTATAGGGTATATATTAAATAAAAATAATTTAAAAACAAATCACAGAACTCACAGAAGGCCAGTCCGCCCCTGCTCTCAGACAGAGCAGAACTTAATTATTGAACAACATTATAACATGGAAACTTAGACTGTGAACAATATTTTAAAAAGAAAAAAGAAAAAACAAAGTAAATACCAAAAGATTAAAAAAAATGTAATAAAATGGAAGAGAGGGAAAAGATAAAGAAATAGTTTCCCCCTTCAAGGAGTTCACTTGATTTTACCTGAGTTTATGTCAAGCTTTGTTTATGTAAATTATAAAGGACTACATTTTCAGAGTTTTTATTTGTTTAGTGGAGCATTAGTGGAGGTTACCTGAGGCTGAGGCGGGTAAAAATGAGGGGCCCCGGGCTGTGGCCCGTCCTGGTAGGGAGGCGGCGGTGGGTTCTGCATCATGACGGACTTCTCATCGGTCCATCCCGATGGAGGAGCACTGGGAGACTTGTTGGGATCCATAAATGAAAAACCCTGGGTCCTTTTTGAAGTCAATTTAAAAAACAAAACAAAAAAATTCTCGACGAATTTCCACTGAGAAAGTTCGAATCGAACCTTTTCTAAACAGACTGGAGCTCCTCTCAGCAGCACAGACCTCGTTATGTGAGACGAGCGGTGATGAGGAATGATGATCCTCACTAACGAAGCTGCGCAACAGGAAACTAGGACTTCCGGTCAGGACTTTCAAACTAAAAGCATGAACAAAAAATTGTTGTGGGCATGTTTAGGAAACATGCTTTTGAGCTAAAATATGTCAGACTGAATGCAATTATTTTTTTATACAGAGTTTTAATTTAGAGCAGTTTCCCTAACGGTAAATGTTTATTTTTTTTAAACTGTAGCCTTACTTTATTTTTTAAACTGTAGGGAGGAAGGAGGCTGTGTCGACTCGAGGCATCCACACAGAAATTTAGGAAAGCAGAGCCACATTACCACACAGAGGCTCCTTTAGGTAATGCACTTTACTGTCATTATTAGGTTCTGTGTAAATCTGTCAACAGGACAACAGAAACAGCTGCTGAAAAGTTAAGAGATCTTTTTTTTTCTTTGCATTTTTTTTTGCAGTTGTTAATGGTAGGCTAACACTCCAAAATGTTAATTAAAACAATTATGTTTACCAACATAGAGCTAGGCATAGATTAAAAATTTTTAATCGTGATAAGCTCAAGATATTTTTGCAACTAACTGCGATTAATCTCATTAATATGCACAGCATTTAATAAAGACTTGAAGATGTTTATAGGATTTTTAAGGTACTGATTTCTATAGAAAAAGGTTCAATGCATTTTCAAAAACGTTCAACAAATAAGGAAAGCAAGTAATTTTTGTGTGGTTCGTTTATAAGAAAAAAAATTGTCAGGTATTTTTTTATTTTAAAACTAAATTAGAAAAACAGCAATTGCCAAAATAACAAACCCTATGAT